CTCGAAAAATAGAAATAACAAAACCATAATACGAATAACGTCAGTACACGGTCGACGAAGCGCGAAATTACAAAAACCAGCGCTGAGAGTTATTTTGAAAATCAAAACCACTGGAACGGCTCGATTATTGCACAATCGCATTACTGTTATTTCAAAAGAAGATATTTGCCAATTTCAATTAAAATTTATCTTTTATTCTAATATATCAGTATGTATTTAGTTTACAAAAAAAAACAGAATAAACGACGGTTGATGACAGTTTAGACGTATTTTGACAATTATTTAAAATATATTGTGACAATTATTAAAAGATAGTTGAAATATTTTTATTTGGAGCTATCGAAACGTTTGTCCCTTTCGTCTATTCGACTGTTTAGCATGCGAGCCGAGTACAGTTGACTGTATTTTGTTTTGTTTAAATAACAATTGAGAGTATTTTTGAATAAAAACCGTGTTCAGTGAAGCATCAATCGGTAATCCCTTTTATATTAAAGGCAAAATTCGAATTACTTTACCTCACTACTTACTTGTACATTGTTCGGGTCTTCGTAGAACTTGTGTATTCAATAAAAATAAAAAAAACAAATGAGCCCATTTAAATATTTTTTTTTAATATTGCTACTACTAGTTTTTTTTTTTTCAAATTTCCGACAACTGTTTTGTCACAAAACAACAAAAACCTCTACAATGAGATTGTTTGCTTCTATTGTTATAATATATATATATATTATATGTACCTACCTATAAATTATAATGAGATTTCAAAACGAAAATCTCTATTGTGTTTTTTATCACGTTAAACCCTACAACTTTCTACTAAACACAATCAAGTACAATATTTATTATTATTATTATTTTTTAAATTAAAATCTCATACAACGTAAAATACTGCACCCCGTGAGTACCTTTAATGAATTAACGATATTTTAGGATTTTTTATTCAACCGTTTATTTCTATTGAAATACCATATAGATTATTATTATACTTCAAGTTACCTTAAGGAACGAATAAATATTTGTGTTCCACGAATTTAATGTAAGTTATAACGCTGTCAATATTCTTATTTTTCAATTATAATGTACCCATACAACAGTTCAGTTATAATGTTATTTTAATTTATACGAACCACGTTCACTATATTATGGGCTACCACCTAAATTAAATTCATAATGTTAAATGAACAAAATAATCCTCTTATTGTGATTCGATATAAAATATAAATAATTGAGTTCGAATTTGCTTGGAAAATATACAAGTCATTAAATTCGAAAAACACGAGTTTTAGAATAATATGAAAATTAAATATAAGAAACATAATGTGTATAGGTATATCTATAGGTAAAATTGATTTATTTTTATTTTTTATTATTCATCACAAAGAGTTGCCCACGCACAATTTATTTTTGGGATTTTATTAATTTACCATTTAATATTAATGTACGAGCAAGTACTTATTTCTTAAATATTTTACCGAATGGAAACGTGATAATGTATTATTTATTAGACTGTGATACGTTTTGAATTTGACATGTAACCTATTAACTGCCCAATAATACATTTGCATACCGCATAGTGGAACAACATTAATTATTGATAATAATATAATGTTGCAGAATTGTATAAAATTAAAATATTACAGTAATTGGTGTTATATCAATAACAGATTTGCCTTATACACTAGATTGTACTATCTGTATTATTCAGACATTCCCTGGGCTAGAAAATGGCTCGTTGATTTTGCTGTTCACATAAAGAACTAAAATGTTTTTTTTTTAATTTTCTCGAAATTAAATTTAAGTGATAAGGGCCTTTTTTGCATGAACCAAATCATGTACCCAAATTTATCGGTTCTTGTAAAAAATATTTAATTCCAGCATCTTTCGCATCGTTTGAACAAGCATTTGAGGGGAGTAATATGACACCAAAGGGTAATGAAGTGACATATCCGGATTTACCTATCCACTGCTGTTCATAGATTTATGTAAAGGAATTAATTTTGAACAACCGAAATGTGACCTTTATCAGAAGGCTGTACATTTTATTATTAATTGTAGTTTCAACGATACTTAATGTTTTCGGGGGTAAAAAAACAATGAATAAAATGGCGCGGTTATTGTAAGTACTGCGCAAACTATGCGTATGACTATGACATTTTACAAGACTTTAAAAAAATATTTTATAACTGCAACTCTCCGTTCTTGTAGAACACACCATATACACTTGTGTTAGCTGTCACGGTGTTGTAGCTTATATAACTTTTTAATTAAAATTTAAATCTGGTGTTGAGGGAATTTATTATTTGCTACACAGTGTACAGAGCAGGCGGGAGTTGTATAACATTGTGTACATTAATATACGGTTTAAAACGGAAATTCTTAATTTTTTTTCTCCTGTCTAACCCGTTACCTATACCGTATGTATAAGTCGGTTTAATGCGCAAAACACAAAAACGCCTATTACACATGAATACACACACACATATTATTTAGACTCTAAAATTACTACTGTAATTATTTCCATCTTCAACGTTTTAACGCACAGTTAATACTATTTACAGTTATTATACAAATAAGGAAAATATACAATATGTACGATACACTTTCCAAGTGTCTGTTTGCACGTTGTTAAGTGATATACAAATGTTTGCATGCCAATCTTGAGTATTGAAGGAGGAATATATTATGGATATACCGCGTATGACAAATACTGTTCGTCGTTATTAACTTGTGTGTTACCATAACGAGGCCTTTGAAGTCTGACTGGAGAGATACCATAAAGGTTATATATTATAATCAGTCTGCAAATAATAATAGAGCCGGGCAAGTTGCTCAGAGGCGTGTTCAGTGGGGAGAAGAGGTCAAAAGGATAACGTCTGTCCAAAAATAAAAATTACAAATAAAAGTAAAAGTTAAGTGAAAGCTATCAAGCGGGTTGGTTACTGGTTGCGTTTTCTACCAACTAATGACGGTGGTCTTGCTGTCGGAAAATCTTAGTCCAAAACATTTGTTGTGTTTATAATTTTCAGTCAAAGTTACCAAAACATTGTCGGCTAATTAATTACACACGAAGACCGACCGGAGGGGAGGTGAAAACAACTTGAAATCACACTCTTGTGAAAACTTTTCTCTTTATAACCTATATATCCTATATACGGTTAAATACAGTTTTGGCGCGAAATTTCCGGCGAATAAAATGTATATTATTCATGGCCGACACGATAAGTATACCGCTGTTTATGTTGCATTTATGAGGAGACTTGTATTTTTTTTTTTTTTTGCATGTTAAATATAATATTATGTTCGCCTATACTTAGAACGCGCAGTTTTCTTCGCGATAATGCGGCTTGTTTAGTATTCGCTTGAGGACATAATATTGTTGTATAACATATATATATATATATATATATGTATATATATATATGTACATTTAAAAAGTTTTAAGCCATCTTTCCGAAACTTGATACTTAAATATTTAAAATAACCGGTATATTGTAGAACGATAGCGGCGCAAGGTCGCGTTCTATACATATACCCCGAAAAATGTCACACCCCTACAATACAGGTGATATATATAAACATATACCCCTTGCATTCATTTCGGTAGAAATTACCCATAATTTATTATGATTTTAAAATATATTTTACCTACTCGTTAAAATCATTATGGCATGATAGAATGGTACTACCTACCTAATGTGTGGTAATAATATTACTAGATGAAGTGATGAGAGCCAAAAGGATATGAGTTATTTTTTTAAACAAATTCACAAAAGTACTAAATTATATGCGTTTAATGTGCTTGGACATATGTGAATTCAAAAAATAGTTTTACAACTTCGATGTTAAAAAACTAACATATAAATAAATTAAATTCAATATAATATGTCAAATCTATTACAAATAGCTATTCCGCTACATCAATTTGCATCCACGCATTCTCAGTAAAATAACATATATCGGAAAAAATCTAACCGTTTGTGTAAAAACAAATGAAAAGAACTGTTTTTCTCTTTAACATACCAGTAAATAATAAAGAAGCTGACTGTATTTCGATCTCCTCGAGAAAAGTTTGGAAAGGGGATTGGTCTATCATTCTTGCACTGAGTCCTTCAAATGCTAACTTTTCAAATGAGATCAGAAACGATTTTCATTTAAAATTAGTTTTATAATATGTTTGAAATACGTTTTGTCTGTCTGCGATAATATTGATTTTATTCGAACTTGATTAAACGCGGAAGTAGGTAATTAATTTAAAAACAAATTATATTTTATACTTTATTTCGTTAAAAATATAATACTTGGTTGATCTCTTCGAAAAAAAAATAAACCCAAAAAAAATGTTCCTTGTTTGGTATGGTAATTTTTTTTCACCGACACAATACAGAGAAACTATTTTGAAAAAATCGTTATTAATAAATACATGTAATTCAGCAATTATTTCTAATCAAGCCAAATAATATTTTGTTTTATTTGCATTAGATACAAATTTTATTCGCAATCCAAGATTTTTATTTTGTTCAGTGCGGTTCGGACAGGAAAATAATTTAAAGCATTGTTAATGTCATATTTTGTTGTAAAAATAATAATTTTTCAACACCTGTTACTCGCGGTGAAATTACGCAATTGTTGTGAAAATTAATTTGTAGATTGTAATTTATAAATTATTATTATTTTTTAATAATTTGTCAGTGGCCTAGTCCCGAGTTATTACGTAAAAATACTATAAAAAGAAAAGTGCGTGATCGACTACTGTTGCCGTCAAGTCACACAAAAGCAGTGCTCGAATTAGAAAAATTAAAAGTAGGGGACGTTTTTACTTGAAAAAAAGAGCGCACTCGGCATTTTTTCTCAAAAAAATAGACCACCACTTATAAAAATGAGTTTTTCTGGAAAAATATTTCGGGTACTCAGTCCTCCCCCCCTCACCAGTTCGAGCACTGCTTACGAGTAGATGTCCTAAGTCTCGGGGACCTAAGACATTGTGAAATGTAGGTGTGTACCCGGGCTATTTCGTCGTCCGTGCTGTTGTCGCCGTACAGATCGTAAGTGACGTTGTTGCTGCACAGGGGCACGCTGTTGGCCGCTTCCACCGACAAGTTGATGCAAGTCTCATACCGGTACTGCAACGTGTTCTTCTCGTACGCGTTCGCGGCCGGCGTCGGTTCCATTTTCGAGGTAGCCCCCCACCCCCACACTTATGCACTTATGATGCACACGCACGGACAGCGGCCAGTGCACCACCGCAGCACCAAAGTATAGAGTCACCACCGCCCGAACGCGATCAACAAGTCATTCGACGGGCGGCGGCGGCGGCGGCAACGGAAGAAGTGGCAGCGGCGGCGTCGGCAAAAGAATCGCGTGGACGTGCGTTCAGACGGCGGCGTAACGCGTTGTCATCAGCGGTGGTGCGCGGCGACAAACTACTGCTGAAGGCTGCGGAGAGCGTCTCGACGGCCAATCGACACCACGCTCGCACGGCGGACGGCCAAATCGCGGCTCGCGCACGCCCCGACGTCGTCGCGCCTTGGCCACCGCCGACGCCGAAAACAACCCTTTTTTTTTCCGCCACTTTCCGGCCGGTATCGCCGTCGAATCTACCGGACGGCGCGGCGCCCCCCTGCTCATAATCATCCCCCTCGCTGTTACGACAAGAAAAACAAAAATATCAACCCCCGCGCGAGACGAATTCGCCGCATAAAGCACGAACACAAAACATAGCATAATAACAGGTATACACGATAATGGTATATAATTACCGTAAAACTTGGTGGCTTTTTTTTTATATTTTCCCTTAGCTTTAAAAAATTATGCGAGGTCTGATGACAATCAAAACCGTGTGTAAATCGTTTTTCAAGAGACTTTCCAACTATGTATATTCCCGTGTATAGTGGCGTACCCAGGGTGGAAGAGATCAAAAATGATTAAAAACTGAGTTACACAAAAATCGCATATAAACGAGGATATTAAAATAATTGATCAATCATGTCGAACCATGTCGAAAACTAATACGACTGCTTTGGCATTAAATTCGGAATATATATTATAAAAATGTATACGTCTTTATGTTTCCTCGAAGATATGAATACGACCCGAGGATAGCGCACAATCTTGTTTATCTAAGAAATATAATATGTATGTACATTTAACACTTTATATAGCTTCGTCTGAGTACCTAAGTCGGACATAAAACGCGGTACCTATAGAAAATCTACTATAAAGCTAAAAACGGTTAGTTTTTCTAAAGTACCCATATCTACCTCTAGTATAATGCCCTAGCCGGGTTCGTTGCAAGCAAATAATTGTTGTGGGTTTATGGGGAACGTATATACGGTTTGCATAACCATTAAAACAAGTTTTTTCGATTTTATAGCGTTTGCCCGTCCATATTACATTGGTCTAGGAAAATTTTACAGCCAACCTAAATGATACTGGAAAAACAAACCACCAGTAAACGCTATTATGTGTACCGATATTGCTTCAATCGAACACACAAGTTCTTGTCCGGATCCTTTCCTTATTTTATAGCTGTCTGGTACTGGCGTTATACGACCTACATTGTTCATATTCTGTTATTGGTTTTTTAAGTTTATTCTTTTATCATGTTACACATATATAGACCTGGCAAGTGTATGTGATCTATATCATGCGGACGCATTCACCAATGTATTATTAAAAATAACAAATCGTCGAGAGCCACGTGGATCATTGATTCGCCCACTGGCTCGTGAGATAGATCTATTTATAATATGTATGTATATTATATAATGTTAATGCATAAAACGAGCAAATGCGATTTTGTTGTTTCTCTTGCTAACGTTTGTACGCGCCAGACGATGACGTTATTGATGGATTATTATTGCTTTTCTAAACACAATATATTACAAAAACAAGTTAACACGTGTGTGCTATGGGGAACGGCAACACGATCTCAAAACGATAACAATTAGGTATATAAATTTAATTTGTTTTTTAATATGCCATCGGGCGGGCAAAACTCTTAAAAACAAGTATTTAGTTACTAATTACCGAGATTAAGAGTAATTAACGACAAGGATACAGTTTCCATTGAAGGTGATTGATTTTTTTAATCAGAGTTGACTACAACCAGGTTGTTTTTTTTTTAAAGCCAGACCCAATTATTAAACAAAACCTATATTTTTCGGTAAATACGAAACGCGTTTACTGGGCTTCTGATTTGAAAACATTTAATAATATCAATAACAATATGTTGCGTAGGTGTTTATTTTCTGTAAATGTTTTCTCGGAGTTGAGGAATGTGGTTATGTGCTCGTTCTATGGTATTATTTGCATTTGATTATTGAGGACTGTGATCCGAAGACAGTTTAAACTATTGCTGACTGCTGTGTTCAAGTACAAATTCCAGATGTTCCAGAATGTTTCCACTTTAATCTATAACAGGATAACCTTTGTACGTCATTGACCAAGAGATTCTTAAATAATAAATAAATAAACATAACACGACGCCCTTATCTTTCGGCCAAGTATATTTTATAGTAGTTTTTTTTACAGCATAATTTAATTAACTATTATACATAATTTCCACCCTGCTAGTAGTAATTGAAGTTTCTGAACATCCGACCTTTATTTGGATAACCTTTGGATGATCCCCAGTCAGATCCAATTACGTTTATTCGGTCACCCTATAGTCAGTCGATACCTTCGCATAACCCTTCAAAGTTCAACTCTTTGTATACCTACACGTTAAGTGTGCTTTAATTTTTGAATACTATTAATTTAAACATGCCATTAATTTTGTTTTGTTTTGAACCTAAACCAAGTTACCTAAGGCATAAAGTTAAATTTTGATTAGTCACTCAATCGATTGTATTTGATTTAACCATTAACAGATTAACTTGTCTAAGTTTATATAAATAATTAACTTTCCAGCTAATCCATGACAATTATCATGTACATAATTAAGCTTAAATGTAAGGTTATTGATTTAAAACAATATAGTATATCTGACTAGGTTGCATTTTCCAAATTACAGAAATTGCCGTACCGTTCAAATTAAAACAATTAAAACCGTGAATACAAATGAGGTTCAGACACGTAGAAGATTAGTGACTATTATACAGTTAAAGTAGATAATTGAATTTATTACCAGGATGGTAAACCACAATATACTCCGAGTATAACTATGAGTACTGTATTATTTTAAAGTGAAGTCCTAGTTTTGTACAGCAGGTAAAATTAGAAAATAGATCTTGAAAATTCAAGATTTGTCAACACTCTTTAGGTGATATATAATCAACATTCGAAAAAATATGGTATTCTGTGATGTCAGTATGCTAACACATTTATGGCGAATTATACTATTGTCTTTCAAGTTTGGTTTTTCGCATAAAACTGTTGTAAATAATAATTAATAGTTATTGGAAATAATATTTGTTTGCATCTAAAAACTGAATAATTTGAATTAATATGTTTTTTTTTAAAGATAGAAGAGAGTACTAAAAAAAATCGAATGTTGAATAAGAAAAACTATACACAAAGTAATTGCTTAGTTACGGTTATACCCTATCTAGGTAACCATGGGCTTTAAAAACCGTAAGATAATATTATATAGATTAAGAAAATGTGTTACAGTTTATTTTCTTACTAAATATTGTACTAAGCATAAGAATTGTGTTTTTTTAACTTAAGCCTTAATGTACACTTAATTAACGTTGTGAAGGTTTATGACACGTTTTAAAATGTAATTGTTTTTGGTAAATTTATATACTTACTTGTTTTGACAATAGCGGAGTGAACAAAATATATGTTATAGTTTATACAATATATATTTTGATAATTTGTTTTCGAAAATACTATTCATGTATTTTGTACCAGAATTTATATTTTATTAATTTATGTATATATTTATTACAACTTATTGGTGTAATAGAGATAATATTTTCCAATTGGAAAACTATTAAAAAATAGTATTTTTTTATCCTGTTTAAAATGATCTACAATTTCTTATAACTTGTTTTGCAATTTAGACAACTTTTATTTTAGAGACTGTAGGGGACAACCGAACAATATGGAACCGAATATGTAAAGCTTCAAAAACGTTGTCATGTGCAGACAATATAAACACACAATGGAGTGTATCCACAAGCTTTGTAGTTCATGTGCATTTCAAATAATGTTATAATACGATTTTGCACCCTTTAATATAATACTCTTTGCCGTACTACGCGACTGTTAAAGTCTTGGCAGTGTAATCGTTTGATATGCATTACCTTCGCATTAGTCTTGGGCTCTGGCAGGTAGACTAATTATAATGTTTTAGCTAACAAGGGCGACACTCAAAATCCATCAGTCATAACAGTGTTTATTGTGAGATTTTGGGATATTATCGGTTCAGAATTTATTATCCCGTGTTTCTTTCATAAACTTTTTCTCCCCCACCCCCTCGAAAACTTTTAGAGTGTATTTCATTTATGTCATTCTTATTATGTATAAAACGTGATTGATATGTGGGATATAAATTTCAAGTTTTCGCCAGGTTTAAATTTCCAGCATTTTATTTGTGCTTAGAAACTATAAAAAAAGGTAGTTATGCAAAGTTGTCTAATGTTTAAAACTGACCATCAAACGCAGGCAATGACGCAAACACAGCCTTAATGTATATTAGGTTGTAAACTCGTCGATTAGTAGGCGTTAACTAATTGGACAATTTTATTGCTTATCTGACCAACCAGCAAAGACACACGAGAATAATATTTCTATCAATTCCGAATGGTGAAACGTACGTTTTTGTTTCTAACAATACTACTTAAATTGGCAAACAGAACAGTTACTACGTTGGTACTCAAAAATGCTAAGTCTAATGCTTTAGAAACTCAAAGGATACTTATTGTAAAGGAATCAACAAAAAACAAAAATTATAAAGTAAATTGTTTAATAAATAATTAATGGCACATACGTTTTAATAATAGTAACAATAAAATATAAAATATATTATATACAATTCATAACAAGATATGTTTTGACAAACTAAAGATTTTTTCTTTTAGTTCAACAAGTATAGATGGTAATTCGACACTTGGGTAAGCAACAGTGTTAAAATGTATCACGTAATAAAAACAAGAAACAAACCAACAACTAATACTAACTTGTAGTTTAAAATTATAAATGGTAATATAGTAATTGTAACACATTTGGATTATTATATTGTGATTAATTAAATTCAATACAATTATTGTGTGTTAGAAATAAAAATATATGGTTTTACCGCTCTTCAGAGTTTTTTATACTTGTTTATTAATGTATGCCGACGGTAGCATGCAAACAAAATGACCAAAAACTAGAAATAAAATAATATATTATACATATTAGAAATTTATAACAAGAAGAAAAAAGATTTCTTTCTAATCTAGTTGCATTACTTGAACTGTGGCAAATTTAACTCCGGTCCAAATAATATCGTCTCTACTTTGTCTAATATCAGAGCGCACTGATATAAAGCAGCCAGTAGCCCACGCGTCATATGGTACACATGAGTTTGGGCCATTCCGGAATACATAGCAACATGATAACGGTAATTGTTTACTAGGGTTCACTATGTACCAATCCTGGGGTTTATTAAGTCCACAACACCGTCTCTAAATCGCATAGTGTACTAAAATTACATTAATATCTACACAATTCTCAAAATGAAAATTTTCCTTACTTACGTCTGGTTGCATGTAATCCCAAGCCATAGTCCAGAAGTCTTCGCCAGTCTGATTATACTTGGTCATTGACTGGTTCATCACTTTAAAGCCATACTCTTCGATTTCTTTGCGCTTCACATAAGCGGTTCCGGACAAAACAAACATTGCGACTACGACGACCGCGAGCAATGTGGAAAACTAAAAAATAAAGTACATAACTGACATTACACATGTGAATGATCATGTGGACGCTAAGTACTGACTATAGACAAGAGGCGCGTGCTATCGTTGAAAACACCGCACACTCCTATAACAGCTATAGCGAGCAAAAACAGCCCGACGACAATTAATGTTTCAGACGCCGTGTTCAGATCCTCATCGATATCGCCGGACCAGCTATTCTTATGGTTCATGAAGACGCCAAAACCTATGAAGCATAAGGCCGAAATCTGAAACAAAGACAACGATTACAATTCAGTAAAATTCAGTTTACTATTGTGTGGCAATGTATATTTACTTACCAGATATATCAAACTATACACGTACACAATGTACTTGCTGACGTACTTGTAAAACGTCATGATCGCTTGTATTTTATTTAAAACTTGGACTTAAAAATTGGTAACAGAAACCAGTGGATTTTAAAAACGCTGGGTATATTACTAAGACGTGTACGCCGTACACGAGTCGCGACTGACTGAACTCTGAAGTAGTATCACGTGTGTCGACAGTGGCGCCCGGTGGCTGATATCAGTAGTCATAAAACATATTATTTCTTTATTCTACTGCTAATAGAATTCAATTTAATTGCAATGTGATTGTTGTGTGGGATTTAATTTTAACTCATATTCAAGCATTTTATTTGTGCTTAGAAACTATAAAAAAGTTAATTATGCAATGTTGTCTAATGCTTAAAATTGACCAAAAAAACCGGCAATGGCGCGAAGGCGCAAACACAGCCTTAGTGTATTTTAAGTTGTAAACTCGTTGGTTAGTAGGCGTTAACTAGTTGGACAATTATTTTATTACTAAACTGACCAACCGGCAATCAGCAAAAGTACACGTGAGAGTAATACTTCTATATTTTTAATTTCTAACGGTAATTAAACGTATGTTTTTGTTTTAACAATATTTTTTAAATTGGCGAACGGAACAGCTATTACATTTGTGCTTAATAAAGGTCCATCCCCACTGCTCCTTGATCGTGTCCACTGTCCTTGTAGATTTTTGGCACGTCCGGATAGCCCCGGTCTTTGTATTTGCACAAGTCAAGGAGGAGAAAGTGTAAATACCAATTCTGTAGATCCGATTTAGCATTGCAAGTTAGAAAAGCAAACCAGCAAGGGATTCAGACAAGAGATATGATCAAGACCAATTCCTATTTGACATCTGGATGAGTTGCACAGCAAAATAATATACAATTTTTAGTACCAACTAGATATTCAATTGGTCTTTTGTAATCTATTATTATTTAATAATAAGTTATCTACATAGTTTTTATTTTATTTCTACTTTTCAATTGAATAGCTTCAAGTAATATCGGGAGGTCACGGGTCTACAGGAATTATTACAACTGAAAGTGATTAAATCGCTTATAAATAAACGAATCTGTTATCTGTGGGTGTACACTATCAGATCTACTACACAGATTCGTAGAAATACTAAGGTAGTTTGCAAATCAGTTAATACTTACGTTCTTATATCTTACTTTAACCCATTTGTATGATTCAGTATATTATTATGTTTTACACCAACATTTTACCTATTACTAATCAAATGGTTCGCGATTAATCCTAACTGGAGCTCACCAATTATAGTTATATATTCCTCTTAGTAAAAACTTACAGGGCAGGTCGTCAGTCTGCCGCCGGAAAGGGGGATGGCGGGTCCTTTTCACCAGACGATTTCCCGCCCGTGACCTAGTGTCGTACCAGCGACAGTGAGCGCCAAACTCTCTGACTACTTACCCACTCGAGCAGTCATTCTCCGCCAACTAAATAATAATTGCACATAAATCAAAACATTTCATTGTAAACCTTCTCAGTATGATATTAACTAAGTAAATAGTAAAAGCATAGGAATAAACAAAACAAAGTTATAAAATAAATAGTTTAATAAATAATTAGTGGCACATAAATTGCACATAAGGTTTGATGTTAGTAACAATAGAATGTAATATATATTATACAAAATTCATAATATAATTGTTTTAACAAATATAAATATTTTTTTTTGTGTTTAACATTTGGTAAGCAACAGTGTAAAATAATAAAATAGTAACTATAACACATTTGGATTATTATATTGTGATGAATTCAATTCAATAAAATTATTGTGCGTATGTTAGAAATGAAAATGTATAGTTTTAACGCTCTTCAGAGCGTTTTATACTCGTTCCTTAATGTATGTCGACGGTAGCATGTCACCAAAATAACCAATACCTGGAAACAAAATAATATAATACAGATATTAGTAATTTATATTAAAGAAAAATATATTTCTTTCTGATCTGTTGCAACTTAATCAAAAATTACTTGAACTGTGGCAAATTGAATTTCGGTCGTAATAATATCCTCTCTCCTGTTAAACTTAAAAAAGTCGACCATTGATTTATGGCAGCCCTTATGAAATGCGTCATGTGCTATGCATGGGTTTTGGCCATTTGGCCAGTTAAAGCAACATGATAACGGTAGTTGTTCGCTATGGGTTACTATGGTCCAATCCTCGGATGAATTAACACCACAACACAGTCTCTAAATCGCATAATATACAAAAGTTATATAAATATCTACACATTTTTCAAAATGAAGATTTTCCTACTTACATCTTTTTGAATGTAATCCCAAGAAATAGTCCAGAAGTCTTCGCCGGTCTGATTATACTTGATCATGGTCTGGTTCATGACTTTCATGCCATACTCTTCTATTTCTTTGTGCATAACATAGGCGGATCCTGACAAAATAAATATTGTAGCTACGACGACCGCGAGCAATGTGGCATACTAAACAATTATGTACATAACTGGTATAAATATGTGTATGATTATGTGGACTCTAGTACTGACAATAGACAAGAGGCGCGTGCTCCTTTTGAAATTGCCGCATACACCTATAACGGCTATAGCGAGTAAAAACAGTCCAACGACAATTAATGTTCGAGTCACATTGTTTAGATCCTCATCAATATCGCTGGTCCGGTTATGATTACTATTGATGAAGACGGCAATGCTAATGAAGAATATAGCCGAAATCTGAAACAAAGACATCAATAAAAATTCAGTTTACTATTGCATGGCTGTGTGTATTTACTTACCAGATACATCAAACTGTACACGTACAAAATGTACTTACTGACGTACATGTAAAACGACATGATCGGGTATTTTATTTAAAACTTGGACTTTCGGCAACAGAAACCAGTAGAGTAAGTAGAATACTATGACATGTACGCGACTGGCTAGTGGCTATAGGGAATAGTGTACTGTGTAATGACTAATGCGGCACGCGGTAGTTGTTATCAGTAGAGATAAGAAGATTCAAGATATTTGATACCAAAATACAAGATAAAACTATCATTATTCAACTGCTAATTTATTTAAATTACACGCGATTGTTGAGTGGGATATGCTTTAAACTTATTCCGGTAGATTAAATTTTCAAGCTTTTGTTTGTGCTTAGAAACTATGTAAATGGTATTTATAAAAAGTCGAATGCTTAAACTGATCGAAGTACGCTGTCAATAATGAGAAGGCGCAAAAACAGCCTTAATGTATTTTAAGTTTTAAACTCGTTGGTTAGTAGGCATTAACTAGTTAAACAATTTTATTACTCAACTCACCAACCGGCAATCAGTAAGGACACATGAGAATATTTCTATAGTTTAAATTTCTAATGTTAATTTATATGTATATTTTTGTAATAACAATATTACTTTGGTTGGTTAACTGAACAACTATAAAATTGGTACTGAAAAATACTAAGTATTATGCAAATCAATTGAAACTTACATTAATATATTTATCATAAAACAATACATTTTATTACTAATCAAATTGTTTACAATTTATCCTACTAGTCAGGGCAACTAATACAATTATATTAGTTTCCCTGACTAGTAATAGTAAATTAATTAGAAAATTTCATTATAAAACTATACTTCCTCAGTGTGACATCAACCAAGTAAATAAAAGCATTTTTATCACATAGAAATAAAAAAGGTTATAATATAAACTGTTTAATAAAGTTATAATTAAAAACTGGCACATAAGTTTTGATAATAAAAAACAATAATATAAAATACATTATAATATACAATTAATAAAAATATATGGTTTAAACGCTTTTCAGAATGTTTTATACTCGTTCATTAACGTATGTCGACGGTAGCATGCAAACAAAATGACCAAAAACTGGAAACAAAATAATGATATACATATAAGTAATTAATAATTAGAAAAAAAATAGATTTCTTTCTTATCTTGTTGTATTTATCAAAAATTACTTGAACTGTAGCAAATTTAACTTCTGTCCAAATAATATCATCTCTATATCGTCTAAGATTGAAGCACAATACTTCAAAACAGCCTGTAGCGTACGCGTCATATGGTACACATGAGTTTGGGCCATTCCGGAATACATAGCAACATGATAACGGTAATTGTTTACTACCGGTAACTATCCAATCCTCGGGTTTATTAGTTCCACAACACTCTCTCTAAATCGTATAATGTATTTGATTTGTACGAATATCTACACATTTCGTAAAATTTTTCCCTACTTACATCTTTTTGCATGTAATCCCAAGCTGTTGTCCAGAAGTCTTCACCGGTCTGATTATACTTGGGCATGGACTGGTTCATCACCTTCAAGCCATACTCTTCGATTTCTTTGCGCTTCACATAAGCGGTTCCGGACAAAACAAACATTGCGACTACAACGACCGCGAGCAATGTGGAAAACTAAAAAATAAAGTACATAACTGACATTACACATGTGAATGATTATGTGGACGCTAAGTACTGACTATAGACAAGAGGCATCTGCTGTCGTTGAAAACACCGCACACGCCTATAACGGCTATAGTGAGCAAAAACAGCCCGACGACAATTAATGTTTTAGAAGCCGTGTTCAGATCCTCATCGATATCGCCGGACCAGCTATTCTTATGGTTCATGAAGACGCCAAAACCTATGAAGCATAAGGCCGAAATCTGAAACAAAGACAACGATTACAATTCAGTAAAATTCAGTTTACTATTGTGTGGCAATGTATATTTACTTACCAGATATATCAAACTATACACGTACACAATGTACTTGCTGACGTACTTGTAAAACGTCATGATCGCTTGTATTTTATTTAAAACTTGGACTTTAGGATACAGAGACCAGTTTTAAAAACACTCGGTAGAATACTAAGACATGTACCTATATAGTCTGTGGCGTGTCATGTGTGGCCGGTGGCGACCGGTGACAAAGAATAACCAGAAGGGAAACTTAGGCTGGGACCACGGCAATAGATAAACTAGTTGCAACCGATTTATCAGCACTGGCTGTTATCATAAACGCGACGGAATACATCATGGATTTTCAGTGAAAAATAAAAAGTTACACGATTCATTTACGAGGATTGCCAGCAGTATCCCATGTAAGAACCCATATAATTTTTGAAAGCTTCCCTTCTGGTTGTTATGAATTGATAACAAAATATTAGTCATTATACAAATTACAATCCTTTCTTCTACTGCTAATTAAATTCCACGGCATGGCCTTGAAGCTAAAAGCTTTAAGCATCTGTTTTACACTGGCATTCGTTTTGCAAACATAATTTTGGTGGGTAATGGTTATCTCTCTCACACCTGTATAACAGTTGGTGATTCATACATACCGTTTTTGTTGGAAAATGACGTACTTACGTTTTTTTTTTTAAAGACTAACACTGAACACTCCAATCTAGATATGTAAATTCTAAATTGTAGTCATATCTATAGTACTTATGCTTATACCAACAAGTACCAATATTTCATATGGTTAATACATCGAATTTTCAAAATATAATGATAGACAAGTATTACTAGATAATTCACAATTATATTAATTTTTACACATTAACACAACTTATATATTATTTTATGTCAGTATTTTAATAAATCGATCATTTGTCACATCCCTATAGAATGCATTGTTTAGTATGTTAATTTCTCTTTCTTTTTTTTTTTTATGTCTAGACTCACGATATCTTCTAAACCGCTAAAATTACTTTATGTAGCAAGTCTATGTATCATACCTGAAAGGTATAAAAAAACATATATAATATGAATAAAATACGTTTAACACTTATACTGATAATATAATATTCATTTTTGCTTGCCTTTTGTTTATGAAACGGGTTTCGAAACACACACATACATTTTAGGCAGCAATAGTCAGTAAACAAATTTTTTTTAGAGTTTAATTTTGTGTTGCTTCTTGTTTTTATTTTATTATAATTATAATATACAATATAATATAAACGTCCGGAGGCGTATCATATATATCCAAGAAGTGTAGGTAAAAGCTTTGGAGACAACTATTTTAATATAACGTACTAGCTTTTCGGAGTACCTAGTCATTTAGCCAATGTTGAAGAAAAACATAAGTTTGTGTTACTTATTCTAAGTTAGTAAATTAACAAGATTTTTTTTGAACAACTTGCCCGGGGAATATGGATTTTAAAATGTCAAATAGCGAGTTTATTTTTATTTTATCTTGTATAATACTCAAGTTTTGGAACCAATAACTGGTTCTTGTATCTATTTATGTTTTTTTGCACTCAAAACATGACATTATTAGGTTACGGACTACGATGTAGCTACATTTTTTTTAATCGTACAATTTAGTACGTATATCGCATTTAATGTCAATAACAGCCAACTTAAAATTAATCACTGTACGGGCTTTTTCGCTTTAAAAATTTCATTTCGATTTTAAAAAAACTTTCACGCATTTTTCTAGTTTTTACATTAGGTAAAAAAAATATGTAGTATACAAAAATGACATAAATAATTAACATTACGCCTACTCGTATGAATAATCTTAAGGATTGCGTAAAAAACCGTGGTTTTTAGTATTCTGCTTTGAGAATAACACGTTGTTTCTTATTTTCAACTTTTATAAATATACTTGGTCGAAAACAGAATATTTGATGGCACTTCTTTGGCTTTTGTCTTTCATTCATCTCAGTACTCGCACGTATTCTATTTCAAAAAGAGAATACTCTTCAAACAGAGTTCAACCAAAATTTGTAATAATGGTAGGTATACGTGACAAAGTTTTGCTATCATCTAACGAATTGGATACGGGTAAACTTATAATCAAACAAAAGTATCTAAGTATATTTTTGTATAGTGTTAGCCATAGTCGTTCTTGTACACTTATAGCTAGACTAATTGTCATTATCTACTTACAAACACTGACGCAGAATGAATTGAATTATTACAAATTGTCGGTCAATTAAATTAACTATAATTCGCTTAAACGCGATGAGTATTAGAATTTATGTAATACTTTTAGTAAGATTATACCCATAGATAATACCATTAAGTTTGAAATCAAAAGGTATGATTAAAAACGTGAGGAACGATTGAAAAATTGTAATTGAATTTAAAATAGAAAACATTGTTCAAACACTGTTTGGCCGTTAACGCTTTCCATTTCGACCAAAAACTGGTTTACTCGCACTCGTCATGGTAAATCCAATATAAACACTGTTCACACAAACTGACAATCAAGTAACAAGTCACAAGCGACCGCCTCTAGCTTGTTTACCCGTGGTGTGCAAATAACAAAACTTTCCAACATCAGTTATGCGAATGACACTACATTCGCATGTGTTATACTTCTTTTGTGTATTTTATTGAAATTAAAAATTAATTTGCACCCCATCCAGTTATCCTCTCCCACTGTTAATGTCCTTTGTAGATACTATTGCTTCTCCCAACTTTAAGTACTACATGTCATAAGTCATTTACCAAAGTATACTGTTGGTTAAGGAAGAACTCTTCTTGTTTTCTACAATTTATTGCTATACATTGTGTCAACTGTAATTAGTGCTGATATGCATGTACACAAATTGCCAATTGTGCACACGAAGAAGATAAAATATAATATAAACGATAATAGTAGAAAATATTGCGCATAGTTAAATGTAGCAGTTTTATTGACTGTTTTGCCTAGGATTAAAATCTCATTCATTAACAGCGAATAGATATGATAATTCGGGATAGCCAAGTACTGTCCTGTGCTAAGAGGATCGATTATAAATTATTGCCATACACATTGGCATTAGGTAAGTAAGTCGGTGACGAGTAGTATATACAATATAACAATTCGTTCGAGCGGTTTAATTTCAATAAAATATTTAAAATAAATTGAATAATAATTATTGGATCGTTAAGAACTCGTTAAAACAAAACATACACTTGTGATATTCTAAATAAATAACCATTGTATTATAAGCTTTTCCCACGTCAAATTCCGCGGAACCGGGATGTGTACTTGGAAGGACCAGTGATTAAATTTTTCAGGGAGAGGCAAAAGGGTTCTAACCCCCATGTATTTTCACAGAGCGACGCCTCCTTCCCCCACTGTATGTGAAATAATATAGCCTTGTATTATTCATACATACGTTACCAAAAACACTGTTTTCTTGTAATTTGGTAAGACTTTCAAGGTTTTTTCTTAATGTTTTGAACAATTATAATAATTAGTGTTATCATAGAAAAGTTTTTTGCCACGTTTCTTTGGACTAATTTAACCGAAAATAACTTTTTACGGTGTAAATTACTGAAAGCTGAATATTGATTAGTATGTGATGTACTTGTGTTTGTTGATAACTTATTCACAAAGAGCATTGCCCAGAGTTGAAAAAAAAAAAAACATTATAGTATCTACTTAGTTGCATAATAGTAATTTTATAATACATGTATACAATACTTGATCTCAAGAAACAAGTGGTTGACAAACAATTCGCTATGCACCATAGTGATATATATATATAAATGCAATAAAAAGATAAAATATGGATTACCTTAAGCGCTAGGAATAGATTTCAAACAATGAATTGAAAGTCTCGGGACTCGTCTATGGAAGCGTTTAATTCAAAACTACATTCCATTAGAAGAAATTGACGATAATGATAATATTTCAGGCCGTATAGGCGGTTATACAAGACCGGCACAAAACGAGAGACGTTCAATGATTAAGTTAAGCGAACATTGGAAAACTCGTTTTTGTCACGATGATCAAACTCGAATATTAATTATTATAAAGTGAAAAAAAACGTACAAAAAGTTGACAAAAAAACAAATATTCCGTAATATAATATTTCACATGATGCAATTGTTCAAAATACGTTTGAAAAGTTATTTTTAAACAGTTTATTGCAATGCAATAATAACAAAAGTCTCACATCGACGAGGACAAGACATTACATAAAAATAAAAATAATTGATTGTATATATTATTAACGATAAAAATCCCTGTTGCAATTCGAGCCCATCGATGGAATTGTTTTGACATAAAAAAAAATAATACAATACTTAAAAAACTGATTGACAGTGTATGCAAATATATGCTTCAGAATGGCAGTACAATAATTGTATTACAAAAGCTTCGCTCTAATCGGAGAAAAGATCGACGGATGATATTGGAGAGCGTCGCAAATTCCAAACAAGTCGTCCGATTTCGACCTACTCTCGATAAATACCGTTGAGATTTCATCATCAGCCAATAAACAATACTAATAAGCATTGAGTATTTACCCTCGACGTCACGCACTGGAACTTGGATGCACTACGGACGATAAAGTATTTGATAGCCTAGAACACAGGTAGAATTTGAAAATTTACAACAAATATCTGCGGTGATAATAACCCAACCTATAAATTACAAATCGTACACAATAGTGCACTATTTTTTCATCCAAACCGAGAAAAACGAATTAAACACTTACTTAGTTTTAGTCTTAAAACAGCACGGACGACAATATATTATAATATGTATTATCTTATGACATATTTTGTATTCTGAGTCTAAAATGACCAATCTCGATTTTCAGGCAAAAGTAGTTTTAGGAGTTAAGGAATGAAAATCAGCCTAATGCTCCATCAAACGTGTGTACTTGTTATAAAAAAATATAATACAATTTAAAACTCGAACACTGTACTTTCGTTAATTTCAATACCGTGTCCAACTATCTTATTTTACCATTTCTTTTATTATTATATTACAGGTAAAAACCCGTTTTTTATTATTATTATTTTTTTAAACTGTACATCTATTAGTGAGTTCATTAAATTGCGACGTCACATGATTTGGCCGGGAGCCAAGACTATTGGACTAAAATCCAAAAAGTAGCTTTGCCCGATTACTCAATAGGTAGGACAAATGGTTAGTAGTGTTCCGGGTCGAAAACTATGTCAAATGACAAATAACATTACCCATGTGTTGGGCGCACCCATACTTGATACTGGCCAAGGAATACCTATGTACACTTGAGCTGATCATTTCTGGAACGACACGTCAACGGACTTTGGTCACGTGCTTTGCCTAGGGTCGAGGTCTCGGATCGCATACTAACGGGTTATAACAATAATATAGTAATTGTATTGTAATAATGGCGCGCTTAGCTATGTGTT